GCAGCAGATGGAATCACTCTCTCTCACTCTCTCTCTAACTCTGCCTTTCAAATAAATAAATACATCTTTAAAAAAGAATGTGCACCACATGGGAGACCAGGGGGAGGCACCTGGCTCAGATCACAATTTGTAATTGCAAAAAATGGAAACAATGTTGGGTGGCATCGTGGTGCAGTGGGCTAAGCTGCTGCTTGTGTTGCTGGCACCCATGTTGTTGCAGTCCTTTGTAGCTTAGCTTTTCTGTATAGACACATGTATCGTGTCTGGCTTCAGATCAGCACAGTGTCCACCGTAGTGGCCATTTTGGGGGTGAACCAACGGAAGGAAGACCTTTCTCTCTGTCTCTCACTAACTCTGCCTGTCCAAAAAAAGATAAAAAAGAGTGTGCATCATCACCACTCCTCCTTGACCCTGTGCTAAAGACTCTCACCAATGAGCAGACAAGACAAAGAATATTTAAGGATTTGAAAGAAGGAGAAAAATGTTATTCTGAGTACACACGTGTCTATACAGAAAAGCTAAGCTACAAAGTACTGCAACAACATGGGTGCCAGCAACACAAGCAGCAGCTTAGCCCACTGCACCATGATGCCACCCAACATTGTTGCCATTTTTTGCAATTACAAATTGTGAATATTACGTCCCAAGTGCCAGAAAGTAGTCCCCGGCACAGGGCTTTGCCTTCTCCACTTCTCTGAAGCATAAACCACAGCAAAGGTATTTAGAATAATCATTCCAGCTGCATCCACTCTGCCTAGCAATGCTGCCATACAGACCACCAGTTTTGAAATGTTATGTTCTGAAAGCACATGAACAGAAGGCAAGGAAAAGACTGAATGACATCCGAATGGCGGCATCAGTGGTGTCCAAGAGAAGGGTGTTGTGTAGAGCCAGCCCTTCTTGCAATTTTGCTGGGAAACAGATAAATTCCTATGTTGCATTTGTGTGTGTGGAGGGGGTGTGAGCAGGGCAGGGGAGCTGTGATTATCTGACAGGTGCACTGTCTTCATTTATTCCTCTGAAGTCCGGTTTCCTATCTGATTTCTCATGGCAGCTTTCTATCCTTCAATACAAATTGTTTTTCTACTTAGCAAAAGTATTTTTTAATCTTCTGGTTAGGATGGGAACATTAGGGTGCGCTGTTCCAAGAGGCAGAGAACCAGTCCCTTCCTTGGGTGGAAATGAATTTCTCCAGCAGAGGCCAGGCCAATGGCAGCTGCCTCTTTTCTCCCAAAACAGCAGTGTGCAGGAGCTTGCAGTCCTGTGTTATTCATGCACACGGCCCCTCTTCCCGGATGGTCTGTGTTACATGAACAGAAGTGCAAATGAGTGCTTCCTGTAGGAACCTCTCGCTGCTTCCCAAGCCGGCAGTCATTCAGACTCCTCGTTGATCTAGGAGACACAGGGACATGCAGCTGACTGGTTTGAGGACAAGGAACAAGACTTTTCTGTTGCAGTTCAAGAGAGACACCCTGGTAGAAATTCCTATAAGGTATCCACCTTGTCCTCTCTGGAACATTCTAAAGGATCTTTAGGAAGCCTGGGATCCCACACTGTAGAGATGCTGGGCCTCTTTTACTCTGGGGAGACCTGGTCTGTGACGCTTCTGGAGTGGAGGGCCTCTCGGTGGGGGACTCTCCTCTACTGATAAATTAGGATGGCCACGGACAGAAGCAGTCTCTCTCCAGCCCACGCGCAGCATGCTAACCTAAGAAACCGGCTCTGACCGAGGCAGTTCTGTCAACTGGATTGGTTCCAAGGAAAGGTGTAAATTGGTTTTCTTTTTCCTCTTGTGGGTCATGGAGGATTGCAGCCAGCAGTGGACAATTCATGATCACGTTAGAGAGCGGGACAGAAAAATAAGATCTCAAGCCAGGGAGCACTTGGGGATGAAACTTCATGAGCCAAGGGCCAGCGTCGTGGCACAGAGGGTTAAGTAAACGCTAGTGACACCGCCACGCCATGTGGGCGCCAGTTTGCATCCCGGCTGCTCTGCTTCTGCATCAGCTCCCTGCTAATGCACCTGGGACGCAGCAGAAGATGGCCCAAGTGCTTGGGCCCCTACACCCACATGGGAGCCCTGGATAGAGTCCCCGGCTCCTGGCTTCATCCTGACCCAGCCCTGGCCGTTGTGGCCATCTGGGGAGTGACCCAGAAGATGGACGTTCTTTCGCCCTCTCCCTCTCTTCCTGTTACTCTGCCTTCCAAATAAACAAACAAATAATGTTTTTAAAATCTCAAGAATTAGCGCTTGTTCTTTAGGCCTCTCTTTGGTGTGGCCAAGTAGTCTAAAGGGCCTTGAACTCAGCACTGGGGAGGAAGAGGAGTGGCTACCGAAGGACTCCAGCTGCCACAGCTGTGCAAGTGGCCCCCTCCTCCACACAGCATCAACGGCGCCTGTCCAGAGCTGCTTGTGCACCTGCAGCTCCTTGTGTTCTGATTGCTCCTGGGAACGTCCTTCTCACTTCATAGAGGGAGTCACGCCAGGTCCCTGAAGGCTGGGTGGGTACAAAAGTTGCCGGCCTCCCGTGGGACCACAAGGCCCCCTCTGCGTTCTCCCTGGGGAGCCAGCCTGTCCCACAGTGTCGCTGTGTGAAGAGGGCCCTCGCCTGCTGGATCTCTCCCACGTTGCTGGTAGAACATGCTAAATGCACAGCCACTCTGGAAAAGAGCAGCACAGTTTGTTGTAAAATCAAACACGCATTTTTCCACATGGCCTAGCAATCCTGCCACTCCTGGGTATTTCTCCCACGGAGATTAAAAATGACCATACAAGAACCTATTCCTGAGTGATCATGATGGCCCCAAGCTGGCCAAACATCCATCAACAAGTGAATGTTCCAGCAAACAGGCAGTCACACCCTGTGCAATGCCACCCAGCTACAAAGAGTGACTTGATACAGCCAACAGCCTGGAAGGATCTTAGGGACATTGCACTGAAAAAACCAGTCTCAAGAGGTGACCTACAGTAGGACTGCGCTTACAGAACTTTCTGGAGATGAGGGAACTGTGCTGATGGAGAACAGATGAGGGGTCTTCAGGGCTGGGGCTTGATCATCAAAGGCGGCAGGAAGGAGACCCTTCATGGGGACAGAATAGGCCTGTACCGCGATCATGGTGAGGCCTGCATGCAATAAAAGGGCATAGAACTACATGTGAGAACACAGGCGCACACAGGAGCCTGTGTAAGAATCGCAGAGATCTGGATGAGGGCTGTAGACCACACTGACGTCAACGTCTTGGTTCTGGTATTATGTAAAATAACTCAAGGGGGAGGTGGGGAAAGATGCACAAGGCTTCCCAGTCCTCTCTGTGTAACTTCCCGCACCTGTCTTTATTTTAATATAAAAAGTTAAAAAAAAAAAAAACAATAAAATGCCTCCAGCTCCTGACCCTATGGCCCTGCACCTGCTCAAAAGGGTACTACAGTCAATGCAGGCCCCAGGTCCCCAGAGTCTGGGCTCTGTTGTCTTGGCCTCCAGGGCACCCAAGAAGCCCACTGCTGGAAGGAAGTGTAAAGCTTAAAACAATGCCAGCCCCTTCCTTCCCAGGAGGGTGAGACCACCTGCCCCCTGACTTCATTTCTGAGCGAAGCAGAAGTAGCTGATGCTAAGAGCTTATCAAGATAGAGGGCCCTGAAACGGCCAAACAGGCCCAAAGCCACACCCAGGGTGGGGGCTGGACTCAGGGGAGGAGGGGCATGTGCATGCTGTGTTAAGGGCTGCAAAGGTGAACTGTTTGGTGTCAAATTGTGGGCATCATGGCTGTGCAGTGCAATTCAGTTCAGCTCCTTGTAGCGGGCAGAGGGTCAGCAGAGTCAGTAAAAGGGCAAGAACCTTGGAGCTTACTCTGCAAATTCCTCCTCTCCTCAGAAGCCACAGAGATTTGCCTTCTACCAGATTGGCCCTTCTTGAAAATATAGGGAGAAGAGGCTGGCATAGTGGTGTGGCGGATAAAGCCACCGCCTGGGACCCCAACATCCCATGTGGGTGCAGGTTCCAGTCCTAGCTGTGCCTCTTCTGATCCAACTCTCTGCTATGGCCTGGGAAAGCAACAGAAGATGGCCCAAGTTCTTGGACCCCTGCACCCACGTGGGAGACCAGGATGAAGCTCTTGGCTCCCGGATTTGACCTGGCCAGCCCTGGCTGTTGCGGCCTTTTGGGGAGTGAACCAGCAGATGGAAGACACCTCTCTCTTTCTCTCTAACTCTGGCTTTCAAATACATAAATAAATAATGTGTGCACACACACACACACAGGAACAAGACAGGTATATATCTTCCCAAAGCCACTGGAAGTGAGAGAGGAAAGGAAGCCCTTGGCTTCCCAGGATCCTTCTGGTCGTGATTCTAGGGCCTTTGAATACTTATTTACTCATTTATTTACTTATCTGAAAGGGGGAGAGAGAGGAAGAGAAATCTGCTATCCACTGGTTCAGTACCCAAAGCCCATGACAGCCAGGGCTGGGCCATGCCAAAGCCAGGAGCCAGGAACTCCATCCATCCGGGTTACCCACACGGGTGGCATGTTTCTGGATGTGGAGGAGCCCTGGTGATGTGCCAACGACTTAACCAATAGTGTGGCTGGGTGAACTGGTCCTGTCAGAAGTTCCCTGGTTCCACACGGGCCAGCATGACATCCAGCACACAACTGACCACGATGAATACGGCTGAAAGAATGAACAGTAACACTGCCAATAAGATTGTGTTTAAAACAACAAGGGCGAGGGGCCAGGCCAGGTAGCATGGAGACACTGTAAAATGTTGGCTTGTGTTGGACTGGGAAATGAGAGAATTAGAGAACACACGTATCTTTTCTGAGTCTGTTTTTAGGTAGTGTGTTATCATCATTATTTTTGGATGTAGAGGTTAGGAATCCCTTGGGATCAGAAGTATTTGGGGTTTCAAAACATGTTAATTGTATTTTGGAAGGTCTGTATATACATAATGAGGTATCTCGAGGATGAGACCCAAGACTAAATATGAAATTTATTTTCACATATGCCTTATACGCATACCCCGAGGGCAATTTTATATAATAGTCTTAATAATGTTGTGCATGAAACAAAGCTCCATGATGTGAAATGGCCACTTGTGACATCGTGTTGGTGCTCAGTTTCAGACTTTGCAGCATGGCAGTTTCTGGGCTTTTGATTAATTCAAAAAAGACGCTCGACCTGTTAGAACAAGGATGAGAGCAGAGGCACTTTCTGATTTTGCTTCCTTGTTGCTGACCAGGCCCAACCCTCTTCCTACCACATGGCAGGTACTCAGTAAAGTGAGTGAGGGAGTAGGTGCTCTTCCTGTCCTCAAGCCACTAAGACGCACTGTCTCCCACAGACAGCCTCTAGTGTGCCCTCTGTGCCATGTGGAATCCTGGAGACCCCTGGCAGCAGACAGTAAGATCATGGACCTGGTGTCCCTTGCTGATGTGTTCCCAAGACACTAAGCATCAAGTGTAACTGCCTCAAGTGGGCCATCATTTCTGTGGAGGCATTGGCAAGGCACTTTGGACAAGAGCTCGTCTTCACTGCCACTTCAGGTCACATGGTTTCTGCTGTCCCACCAACCTGTGGGGGACAACTTCCAAGACTGCCAGAAGATGCCCCAAAACAGACAGTAGCAAGTCCCACACATGCTGTGTTCTTTCCTAAACATATGTGCCTATGATAAAGTATAATGTATCAGTTACACATAGTAAGAGATTAGCAACAGTAATCAAATAGTGATTATAACAGTATATTGTAATGACGCTTATATGAATGTACACTTTCTCAAAGCATCTTACTGCACCTGCACGTGTCACTTCAAGGAAGCCCTTTCAGCTTCTCTCTGGCGTGTCTGAAGTGCTCTCGCACTTCGGGGTCATCATGAAGTAAAAGTCGGGTTATTGGAACATGAGTGCTGCCATGCACAACGGTGGATCTGATGCCCACGGTGAATGCTGGGCGATGAGCAAGCAGGTAGAGCGCCCGTGTGAGGACGCTGGACGCAGGGCAGGACAGGGGAGGTCAGTGCAGGATTTCATCGTACCCCTCCGAATGGTGTGCAATTTGAACCTGTTACCTGTTTCTTTGTGGAATTTTCCATCACCATTTTTGGCTCGTGGTTGACTGCTGGTAGCTGAAACCATGGAAAGCAAACGCAGATCAGGGGGAACTACCTATCGTGTGAGGAAGCCTGGGGCCCCAGTGCTGTCGCACGCCAACCCTCAGTTATTCTGGGGCAGTGAAATTCAGGGCTGAAGGGATCATGTAGTTTCCTTCCTCTTTGCCATCAACAGAAAGATTATCACAAGCATAGCGTCAAGAGTTCATGGGAAAATGAAATTAAAAGATAAGTTTATTTTGGTACAAACCGCTGTGAAATATATACATAACATTTGTATCATGTTTTTTCCATGAACTTTTGAAGACCTCCCATTTGTGCGGATTTCAAGTTTTCACATGAAAATTAACTTCTCGTTTAATTTCATTTTTCCATGGATGTTTTCAAATCCCCTTGTGTTAATGAACAGCCTGTCTTTTGTAGTTAAAAGCAGACAAATGTGAGAAGTAGAACTTTCAGCTCTTCAGCCCAACGGTACTTTCACACCAACAATTGCGTTTGCCAAGGTTAGCAGGCGGCCTGCAGGGTGCTGGAGTTCTTCCTCTCTCACATCACAAACAGTGGCTAGTCCATTGTGACACTGTTAATGCCATGTTTGTCGCATTTGATATCAGGGACCATGCTAAAGCATTTTTAATACACCTTCCACTTATCTAGGATGAGGAAACCAGAAACCAGACCACATGTGGGACTCTGAATGTGCGAATCAATTCCCAATGAAATGCTGACCAAAGAGATCTGAATGGGGGCAGAACTACTATTGTTTGAAATAAAGGCCCATCAGGGGGCCTTGCTGTGCCTCTCCATAGTAATTAGATTTGACAGGTGGAAAAAAGAAGAGATGGGGAAATAATAGACAAACACAGTCAGAACACATTTACCGCATTGCACGTTATTGCTTTTTCTGCAAAAGCACAGAGGGAACTGGGTGGAGGAAACGCAGCAGCATCAAGGGCAGAAAACATGAAAGGCAATTTTATGTTGGAGTGGCAACGAAGTCCAAGCACGCGCACTTCACTGAAGGTTTACACACCACTCTTTCCGGGATCTGCAATGGTCCTGGATGCTACCCATGAGCTTGTGCGTAGAAATCACAGCGCCTAGTGAAGAGACAGCCATCCAAGAAGGCACACCTTTAGATCCATGCTCTGCCAGATCTGTGTCCTGAACGCAGCCCCAGCTTGCCAAGCTGGTGGTCAGCTAAACTGAAGCACAAAATCGAAGGCGAGCTCTGTTGGAAAAGAAGTCTGACAGAGGCAGAGGAGTAGCTGCTGCCCACTCAGAAACTCCATCCACAGCACCAGAGCAGACGTTCCCATTGATGCCACCGTGGCAGAGTTAGATCACCAGCACATTCCCGAGAGCACTTCCATGTGTGAGGCTGACTCGGACATCCCTGGCGGCTTCCCAAGAAATTGCTGGCACCCAATAAAGCTGGAAATAAAAGTTGAACTTCCTAAGACCTTCTGTTATCATCGAATTACCAGATTCTTTCTCCTTTCATCTTATCCAACCAACTGCCGTTGTTAGGCATGTCCACTGTATTAGACTCTGGTTATCTGAAAGTTAATAGATGAAGTGCAGTTCCTAACAGGCAAAGCAGCAGTAACTTCCACACTGGCTGATGACACACAATGTACCACGGAGATCAGAGGAGGGACGGACAGTGGAACCCCAGCTGGCACCTGGACAGGATGTGGTTGAGTGAGGCTGTGCAGGTGCAGGAGGAAGGGGAGAGAAGCCTAAAGCTTACTTCGTGAGATACAAACTTCTCACAAGATCCTTTATTTGAAATTAACCAAATATTTTGGCTAATGAACATTTTCTTGACATTGAAGTTGCAATTAGATGGAAAACATGTTTCTGGAAAGCAGAGAATACATGTAAGAGCCATTCATCTTGCAAACACCAAGTTAGCACCTGCCATTGGAGATGCGTGTCAGACATGCTGGCAAGGGGGGAGCCATCAAGAATACAAGGGAATCTCCTGTAAATAAAGGCCCTCCTCCGAGATCTGACACTGGAGGAGGCGGGCCTTCCCTTACAATCCACCACGTCATTCAGTGCCGGCTATGTTTCATGACAAGTAACTGGTTCAGATCATAAACTCCTAGGAACAGAGAGAAAGGACCCGGTAGGAGAAGATAAGGTTCCCCAGATGTCAGGATTTGGATGGAAAGGAAGAAAATCACGGCACTCAATGCAAACACAGATCAGATCTGTCACCTTCTCCCCCCGGAGTCATCAACAGCTCCCCAAGCAGAGTCACCGGCTCACTCCTTGTACCTCCGCACAACCAGGATATCCCAATTCATAATACTCCTGAGGACTAAAACGCCTTCTTTTAACATTATATTCTAAGCACGCTGTAGAGTACCTGCTGGTGGTAGGGGCTCCATAAGTCTATCCTACAAATATACAGAGCCACTAATCCCAAGCTGACTACTGGCCATACAAGAGCAAGAAGGCTTTGCAGGCACTGTGGAAGGGGAGTTAAAGACGTGGGTGATGTCACATACAAGGTCTCCATGGTAGTGAATTGCATGTGTCACCTTGGCTTGGCTTTGGTGCCCAACTGTTTGGTCAAACACTAGTCTAGACGTGGTGGAGCCACATGTGTGGACTCCAGGCCTTAATGATATACATCCAAGCACCATGGTTGCCTGAGACCAAACCAAGCAGGAGCCCAACATGGGGCACCAACCTGTCCTGAGGAATTGTGCTTCCAGAGTCTGCACCACTGGACTTTGTTTCCTTCCTACCAATTCCAACTGAAGAACCACCACTGGCTAGAAACTGACCGAGCCAAAGCTGTCCTCCCTATGACTGCTGCCAGGGTTCAGCTCAGCCCACAAGAACACAGGCCACTAGCAGAGCATAACGCATGCAGACAGCTCTATAGCTGGGCTTCGTCAAAACCCTGCTTACTCGGCACTGAGCTTACTTACTCGACTCTAGTCTACCGCACGCATGTACAAGAAAGCTCTTCTAGAGGGATCTGGTTATGGCTGCTGGCTGGCGGCCTCCCCAAGGCTCTTCCTCACCTCCAGCGGCACTGGGCTCAGAGGCCCTGCAGGAGCCCGCCATCCAGGACACGCATGCCCAGGAGGCAGGGGCAGATTCAGGGCTGCCAGCTTCATTCACTGCAATACCAGCCTCTCCTAGGCTGACACCACAGGAGTTGACAGTATGGGAAGAGGGCAGGTATAACACAGAGGCCACAGAACGAACACTGAAACAGAGCTTCTAGTTCACAGGGAAGCTCTTACTTCTTTCCTCAACCCCTTTGCCACTCTGCAAAGAAGGACCTGGAGGAAACACTGGGCCCTGCCCCGGAAGCCCCGGGAACACAAACTCTCATTAACTTTCCTGTTCTAGGAGGTCCAAAGTCAGATGATGCCACGCGAAGGTGTTCAAAGTCAGAAAGGTCCCAGGGGGAGTCTCTCCCTTCCTCACTTGCTCATCACATCTCCTATAAGAAAAGGAAAACTACTTTAGAAGTCTAACTGACCACCCTTTTTTGTTGGGTAATTCTGAGGCATTTGCAGTCTAGATAAAGCCTGGTAATCACAAAGGTGATTCAAGCAGTGAGTGCGTCCCTCAGGGGAGCATTGACGATGTCTGAGACAATTTGGTTGTCACAGCTGGGAAAGCAGACATGGTACTGGCATCTGGTGCGCGGAGACCAGGATGCGACTGAACGTCCCATGATGCACAGAAGAGCCCCACGACAAAGCACGACCTGGAAAAAGTTTCACACTCAATCGGTTGAGAAACCCTAGTTTCAAGCGCTCAGGGAGTTTACTGCAAGTTCATTCATCAAACGATGACCTGGGACCCAGCACAGCACAACCTCCAGAGGTTACGCTCGTCCCTAACGCTGCTGAGTCTGCCTTAGTGGCACCCAACAGACAGATGAAGAAGGCACACAGATCACACGGCGCATGCTCAGGGCCTGCGTGGACAACAGAATAATGCAGGCGGGGATGTGAGTTCAGAGGGAAGGGCTGGCGGATGGCAGGAACAGAGGTCAGCTCAACCAGGAGGGCTGCAATGCCGTGTCTGTGCTCAGAGCCTGGCTGTCGCATCCGCGTCTGAACTCACTGCTCGGGGCTCATCAAGCCCCTGCGCCCTGAGAAAGCAATCAGGCTTTTCTGCTCCCACCTCCAGATCCCGAGAGAAGCCACCCCTGGCTTTGTGACTTGGCTCCTTATTGCGATCGTTTTCCCAACAGTAACGCTTCTCCACTCCCAAGGAAATGCTGTTTCCTCCTCCCACTCTCACTTTGTCTATTTATACCTTTAAAATATCGATAAACATTCAGTGTAATTCTCCTACTGCTAATTGACTAAGCAAGACTTCCCTCATCTCTTGTATTTTGCCTCAGGTAGCAACCTAAATTCACATCCAAGAAAAGTAATGACCAGATCAAAGCGTTTTGATGAAACAGTAGTGCACCTGCATTGGATCAGCAAGGCTGAAACGGTGTCATGGCTGTGGCAGATCCCCCAGGTAATCAGTGTGAATGACCAAACTGCCTGGAACACGCTGCCACCGGCAAGTGGGAGCTCACAGCCAAGCCGAGGTTTCCAATCACGAACTGGAGCTGTCGAGTGCCTGCACACAAAGCATTGCAGGCCATTCCACGAGTCACAGAACTAACACAAGCTCTGCCGTCTCCACCTCCACTTTGAGGGCATCACCAGCCCCGTACTAGACAGCATTTGCTGGTTCTGAATCTTGATACTGACACTGTCGTGCGGGATCATGGGGAAGGTAACATAAACTCTCGGAGTCTGTGAGGTGAGGAAAGGCATGCCTGTCTCTCTCTCTCTCATGGTCACTGCTCTACCAGCCTCAGTCCTGTTGGGAAAAGAGACCACACCGGCTATTTTAACAGAAATACTTTAATCTAGGGAGTTGGCTACAGAAGCCATTGGTGGGGAACAAACAGCAAAACTGCAGCAGTGAGGAAGCAGCAGCGGGCACCTGAGGGCTGGGTGAGCAAATGGAAGAGGTTGAGGGTATTGGACCCGGGATGCCTGAACGAGGAGCCCAGCAGGGCCAAGACGCAGATGCTGAGGGATGGCCATGTTACAGCAGGAGCTCGGGGACCCACGGAGCTGAGCCTCCGCTGGTTCCGGGAAGATGCAAACGAGAGCTGGGTCCTGGAGCTGCTAGGGTGATGGGCCACTGCTGGTCACACCCTGAGCAACTCGCTTCTCCAGCTCCTGCTGGCACCTCGAGTGGCAGATGGCAAAGAAGAAACAGGGCAGCAGAGGGCCCCAGCTTCCCAAGGCAGCGTCCAGAAGGCTGGGATAGGAGCTGTGAAATCTACAGCTCGATAGGCGACCTGTCCACTTACCCATCACCAAGTGCTTACTGTGTGTGGGACTGGGCGGTGCCGGGGGCCTGCAGAATTACAAGGAAAACTCTCGTAAAGTGGGCAGCTCATTCCTGCTAATGCGCACTCTGGGAGGCAGCAGGTGACGGCTCAGGAAGCTGGCTCTCTGCCACGCAGGTGGGAAACTCAATGATTAAGTTCCTGGTTCCCAGCTTGAGCCTGGCCCAGCCCCAGCTGCTATGGAGAAGAAACCAGCAGATGAGAACTTGCTATCTCTCAAATAATAATAATAATAATAATTTTTTCAATGAACATAAACATATAATCTTTAAAAATATTTCAGACAAAACTGTATTAAGATTTCAGAGATGCTAAAGAATATTTGGGGAGCTGTCAGGGAGGCCTTTGCAAATAAGATGGGAATGAGCAAGGCCTGAGTATTCAGACCAAGGCCAAAAGGGCCAAACGGCTTGAAATGGGAAACTCCACAGGAGCAATCGAACGTGGAGGGGATTCGCTGGGTGTGCGTGGCGCTACCCTGTGGGGGAGGTATTTGTGATGTGAGCTAAGGCAGGCAGGCCAGGAGAACATTTCTGAATGCTGTTCTGAGGTAGAGATGAACCATCGACCCTTTGAATGAGCAGAAAACATGTTACATGCATTAGCTTTCTACGCACACGGCACCTTGCAGACAAGGGAAGATTTGGGGAAATCTGGTTCCGTCAGATGAGATGGGATGGGACGGAGAAAATGGTCTTAACTTGAAAATCTGAATGCATCCCCTCGGTTTTAACTATCATGATGAATGATAATTAAACTTGTAAGAAATGTTCTGCACAATCCATGAGCGAACTTGAAGGACAAAAGTTCAAGAATTCAGAATCCAGGCAGTGGTAAAGCTTCTCACAAGTAAAGACGTAAACCAGCCGTGACGTCTCAGTGCCCGTTCCATGGACTGAGACGCTGCTGGAGGGTGACCGTGACGTTGCCCTGCTGTGAGAGTGACTGCTGACAGACCTTGGGAGCTGGTGGAAGTGCCCTGGGCTTCCCAAAGCAAGCACTGGGCAGCACGCTTTCGCGCATGTCTTAGTGGTTCTCACCAACAATGAATCCAGTTGGTCCGAGTGCTGGCTCTGAGCTAGCAGAGGACACAATGTTCTCACAATGGGCCTGTGCTCTTCTTGGCAGATCCCTTGCAAGACTTCGGCTTATCCATTGACGAGTGTTCCAGAGAATTAAAGCCAAATCTCAGCATTCGATTTGGACTCATTCTGAGTAAGTAAAGATTACTGCCATGAAATACAGCACTGCCCAAGCCCTTGCCAGCACACGTACCCAGCTGACTGATGGGAGCCACGACGGCGGGGTGGAACTGCTGTTCCCCCGCCACCCTTTAAATTAACTCTGTTTCCATCTCCATTTTCAAGTCTCTCTCTCGGCAACAGCCAGCTAGAGGAGAGCACTCATTAAGTGCGGAGTTTTGCACTGAAAAGACTCGAGGTGCTCATTTGGATGACATAAGCACCTGCAATCAGTATTGCCAGAAACAAACATATCTGGAGACTACAGTGATGATGTCTGCTCAGGAGGGAGCTTGGGCTTGGTGCTCGCAGCAGCTCAATCCACCGCAGGAGCCTGGTTTGTCAACTGTGCTGCTATTTCCCAAAGAGCTAATGTGAATTCTTCTTTTTTGCTGAATACATACCTTTTTTAACTTAACAGTTTATTTCTTTTTTGAGATAATGTATTTTTAATTATATTATATACAATTATATTTAATTGTAGTCCAAGGCTTAATGGCTCTACAAAATAAAGAGTTCAACAGTAAAAAGTCAAAAGCCTGTTGTCCAGCAGGAAGCCAGGCGAGGGCTGTGAATGATGATCAGGTGCAACGATGTTCGGCCTCGCTGCGTTCTTCCACACTGACACAGGCAGAGGAGCGAGCTGCCTGCTCGCTCACCCCAGTCAATGTGCCCGTGAACTTGCGGACTGCTTCATTTTTATTTGTGCCATTACAATCAGTCAACATACTTGCTCTAGCTACTGGAGCATCTACCCCTCTGAAACAGTTTCATCAAAAGCCAGAGCAGAGGGATTTAATAAATGCAGCATGAGGATTCATTCCAGAAAAAAGCTGGAGGGAACCTGCATGCATCTTTGTAGTTCCTGAAGCTTGCGCCACACGTGGACTCTCAGGAAACGCCTTGAGGAGCGAAGGAAAGGGACAGGGGAACAGGGGGAACATGATAGGGAGGAATGGAGGAAAGGGCGGGGAGACCAGGGCTTCTGGTGTGGCCCTGCGGCAGCAGCTGACCACAAGCCGTCCTAGAGGGCAGGCTGGCCACACCCATGGCTGTTACGGGGCATAACTGGAGGTCGCAGAGACGCTCTCAAGGCCAGACCTGCAGACATCTATTACGGGATATAGCTGCAGGGCAGCAGAGCCCAGCAGACGCCTTCTCTACCTCCAACAGGCAAAGCTGAGAAAGCGCACTCTGTACCGTGCCGTCAGGACCCCCTGGGCTCAGCCTAAGCACTGTTTTGCCAAGAAAGAAGACAGTCGCCCCACGCAGAGCAGACGGGTGGACTAAAGAGGCTTTTAGCCCACGCCGTTGTGAGTGCTGACCTGCAGCGTGGCGTGCGCTCAGAGTACAGCTGCTTCTCTCTTTCCTGCAGGAGAAGACATCCGACAGCTGTTTCTGGACGTAACTCTCGTCTCCAAAGGCGTGTCTGTTCTGAACTTCTCCTACCCCATCTGCGAGGAGGACTTCCCCAAGTTCTCCTTCTGTGGAAGAAGGAAAGGAGGTGAGTGTCGGTGCTGCTTCCTACACGTGGAGGCCCACTGAGAGGTGAACAGAGCTGCCCTCTCGGATCTGGACCCCCCAGACCGGAGCTGAAGCTCCACCCACCTCCACCTTTGGACAAGCTTACCCTCACTCAGCGTCCGTTAGACAAACCTAAGAGGCCCATCCCAGAAGGCATGCCCTGCAGGGCTGCTGTAGCGACCAGAGTGAAAGGATGTGTGGGAGACGCTTTCAAAGCAGAAAAGTGGGACAGGGAGTAGCAGCCCCTAGAAACAAGGGCTGGCAGCAGAACGACCGGCCAGCTCCCAACAACCCTGAGACACTCAGTGTGTCCAGGCGGCCTCTTGGCCTTTTCCACTGGGGTCCTTGATTCGTGGGGACATCAGGTAGCTGGACTCAAAGTACAGAAGCAGAAACCCATTGTCTTATCTCCCTCACCTCTAAATCATGAACTCCAACTTCTGCCATACGTACCCGAGAGTACCAGACACCCCCCACCTGCCCCTGCCTCTCCTCCCTGCCTTGTCTGCACCCACATCTTCACCAAGACCCTGACTGAGTCACTAATCTTGGTTCTGCTCTCCCTCTCCTTCCCAACACTTGTTTCTTTCCGCTGTTCTCTCTGTCCCCACAAGTCCTTTGTAACCCCACTGGCCAAGGAGGAGCCACTCGGCCCCCTTCTTCCCACAGCCCAGAAACTCCCCCTTATTGATGTCCCTGCATGCTAGGAAGCAAGCCCTTGAAAAGGCACACAGCTCTGAAATGGCCCAATTGTTCTTCTAAACAGACAACCTGGAGGAACTTGGAGTCCTCTTCCCAAAGGGATGCAGAACAGGGAGTTTCGGGGAGGGGAAGACAGAGCAGACAGAAGCTGGCGCACTTCGCGGTGGTATGGGGCAGCCTGGGGCCACTTGGATGCCTGCCTCAGCCTCTCCTGCTCCCCCAGGACGTGCTCAGAGCTCTGCTCTGGCGCAGCTGTGATCCGGGATTCTCGTGCATCACCTGCACTGGACAGTGGGATAGAATCTTTGTCTTTTGACCCCCGGCGCTGTCATCTCTCGGGATGTTCAGGGGAAGGGCTCCGGGACCCCTTGCACATACTAACAGCTGTAGATGCACAAGTCGTGCATATACAACGGCACAATATTGGCTTAGAACCCACGCACGTCCTCCTGTATACTTTAAATCATCTCTGGATGACATAAAATACCTAATACAATGCCAGTGCCACGTAAGGAGCTGCCCTGTGTATTGCTGAGGGAGTAATGACAAGGGAGAAAATCTGTCCATGTTCAGTTCAGATGCAACTTTTTTTTTTTTCAAATATTTCTTGATCTGTGGTTTTTTTTTGCATGGATGCAGAACCTGGGAATGCGGAATGTGCAGATAAGGGTCGCCATATTTCTCCCTGGGTGGGACACCCAGGGAGAGGTAAACACAGACACACACACAGGAAGTACAACAGCCAGCATCACCAAGCATTTGTTCCAGGTCGTGTTCGAACAGCTTCCCAGCCAGTGAGTCATTTGCTTCCACCCTGATCTTAGGAGTTAGTGCTATTGACACTCCAACTGCACAGGTGCAGCAGCAGAGGCAAAGAACGCTTTAGCAGCCTGCACCTGTCTGGGACAGTCACAGAGCTGATGAGGGCCCCTTGGCTCGAACCCAGGCAGGCTGACTCTCAGAGCCCCATCTCCTTTGCATGGAATGAACGAATGAGTGAACAAAAGAACAGCGGAGAAGATGAATGTGGCTTGCACCCAGGAGGTCATTGAAAACTGTCCTGTAAGAACTCTTCCTGCCTAGTGATACTGGTAGGTTTCCGATGGCGAGTTCTGTCCCTTCCTAACGAGCCTGCCTTAGATTCTGTGGCCGGTGCTCCTCTCTCAGCTGGCTGCAAAGACTTCTGATTCATCAAGGCCACTCGTGTGCTTGCCCATGAGTCTGCCCCCTCTAACCTCTCCTGCCTGCCTGGAGCTGGGCCGACCTCACACTCCTCACCCACAGCCAGCCCTCCCCTCCCCCCGCCATAGTGACTAAGTCCTACTCTGTGCCAAGTGCTTTGGGGAACCTGAAGATGCACCAGGGATGGCCCCTGACTTGAGGGACATTGTGACTGACTAGAGGACATTAGCGATGCACACAATGATGATTCCTCCAGGTTGTTGTGTGTGTTATGTATGTGACGGAGGCATGAACAATAGGCCAAGTCACCTTGAGAGACGCAAGTCATCCCCAGGGGTTTCCACCTGTTGGACAGTGAACAGTACAGGAAACTGAGTGAACGACTACTTTCCTGTTTGCCTCCAGGTTACATGAGCTTCAGCATTCTCTTCTTAAGTATAATGTGTACACAGCTGGCAGTTTACAGGAATTCCTTGCTTTATAGGATGTGTTGCAGGGACTTGATGTGTCTTGAGTTGCAGGCAGGCATTTGGCACGGCAGTGAAGATACAGCTTGGGATACTCACACCCCATATCAGAGAGCCGGGTCTGAGTGCCAGCTCTGCCTCCTAGTCCAACACCTGCTAATGCTCACCCTAGGAAGCAGCGGGTGACGGCTCAAATACTTGAGAGCCAGCAGCCATGTGAGAGACCCAGAGTGAGTTCCAGGCTCCTGGCCTCAGCCTGGCCCAACCCCAGTTGTTGTGGGCATTTGGGGAGTGAACCAACAGAGAGATGATCTCTCGTTGCTTATCTGTCTCTCGTTGTCTCCGTTTCCCTTTCAAAGAAATTGAAAATTATTTTTAATTTTAAAAAAGTATGTTGTGTTAGAAATTAAAAACCATGGGCCATCACCTACAGCCAGCATTTATAGTGCTATCTCAGACCTTCTCGTTTCTACGAGCTTTCCCAAAATCAGTGTTCTTGAGCCCAAACATGGCAGCACGCCCTGCTTCTCAACAGACAGCACACACTGGGTGGTCTGTCCTCCCACGCCCGGACCCAGTCTCCCCCTCTCTGGTTCTCTCCCCCACCTCCACTGCTGCCAGCGCAGTCTGCTCAACACAGACCCCAAATGCTGCTCCCTCACACACTTCAGGAGTCCTCACCTGTGAGAAACCAAGTTTCCGTTCTCGTACGACCGAAGTGCATCATGACTTTGGCTCAAGCCCACGTCTCCAGCCACATCTTGCCCTGGTCCCCATCTGCAGCCTCAGTACCACGGCCTTGACACACACAGAGTCGTGAAGACGGCCCCTTACCCTCCCTTACCCACTCCCCGCCACCCAGCTCTGACCCAGGGGGTCACCTCTCCTCGGAAGCCCTCCTCCAACCCAAAGGCACTGTTCCCTCTGGGTATTTCAGGAGCATTCTGTTCCTGCTTCTTGGGTAGCAGTTATCGCAGAAGGAGTTGTCTTCTGTTGCTATTGTGTATACGCAAATGTGTGGATTTTTAATATTTATCTAAAAGGCAGAGTGACAGAGAGGAAGGGAGTGACAGAGTGAGAGAGGCAGAGGCAGAGGGTTGGGGGGGGAGAGAAAGAGAGAGAGAGAGAGGTCCTCCATCCACTGATTTCTTCCCCAAATGACCACAACATCCAGGTCTGGACCCCTATCCTGGTCTCTCACGTGAGTGGCAGGGGTCCAAGCACTTGGACTATCTTCTGCTGCCTTCCTAGGCTCATTTGCACGGAGCTGGATCAGAAGTGGAGCAGCCCTGGACTCGAACCGGTACTCATTATAGTTTGCTAGCATCACTACAGTGGCAGCTTAACCCGCTGTGCCAAAATGTCCCCACCTCCATTAAACTTGGAACTCCTGCAAAGCAGAAATACATTTTATTCATGTTCATCTCTTAAGACCTGGCCAAGAGAGCTGGCACAGAGGAAAGACTCAATGAGCACTTGTCTTATTCAGTTTACGCGTAGGCATGTGATGGATTGAGCCCAGCCACACCAGTCCACCTCAAAAGTAACCACACTGATGGATATACATAGCCCAAGACACAGGCACATCAAATCCTAATCCACAGGAGATTTTCTTGTTCATCCAAGTTTAAGAAAAACTTACTGTTTTTCCCTCTGTGTACAGTTTTAATGGAATTAATAAAACAGAAGAGATACCTTTCCCTCAAATACTGCGAGGTATCCAATACAGTTTACAGCTCTGAAAGCTGGTGTTTGCCTTCCCCGAGCGCTGAGAGCCCCACAGTCGCTGATCGGCCTTATTGCTATGAGAGGATGACGGCCGCAGAGGCAGGCTGAGACGTGAGCACTTGGGGGACTGCCAGGAAATTTCATACAGTGTAAAGCGATCAGAAAAGCGCGACACAAATGCTGCACAAACAATGATTACGCACGTTACACTCATACGATCCGCAGAAACTAAAATCTTGAGTTCAGAAGCTTCCTGGGTTGTGAACTGTTTTTAACCCGCCCACAAACCCACAGCAGAAATGACACTGTTCCAAAGAAGTTATCACTACTGAGACCAGAAGGGGGTAGGGGACGGCACCAGGGAGAAGTGAAATCAAACCCAAGTCAAGCTGCGGCTGGCATACGGAGCACGCCAAGGCTCCCCCTGGGACTTGCAGAACACACGGGTATCTGTGGTGGGCAGCACATTCTGTGTCCGCTGCAGTTGAGCCGTTTGGTCTCGTGTCCACACGGCATTACCAGGCATTCTTCCACGAGCTGCAGTCTCCTCTCCCGCCACAGCCTCCATCGCCAGCTGTGAGCAGGAGGCACGTTGCATTCAGCACCACGCAATGCCCTTTTGGCATCATCTTTTATGGTCTGATTGGCAATCTGGGGGAGAGAGCTTATCCAAATACAGCGCACTGAGTAAGATCATTGTTCAGCCAAAAGCACACTGTGCTGTGACTTTAAGTGATACTGTAGGAGATTCTTAAAATATATAAATACATCCCAAAGAATACTGTTAAGTGACATGGAAGTATGCTGTAAGAGTTCTCCCTGTTGGGTCCTGTTTTTATTCAAATGTGAGTAGGCGTACACCCAAAAACCTCTGGAAGAGCACACACTCAGGGGCTAAACGTGGTTATCACTGAACGGGGGGACAACTGACCTTTACTTTGGTCTTTGTTGGAAAACTCGCTTGCCTTATGCTAGATTTGCAAGGTTACTCTAGTGGATGTTGGTCTATCATTGTAGGGAAGAACAGACAGGGTGAATCCTCTTCTCTACAGAGTAAATCTCAGAGTTCCCAAAGTGGATCGGAGCCTATGTCACAGTTCGTGGTATCTGGAACAGATACAAAGTTCTGGATCAGTGTTGCATAGAATGTCAAGGGGTCACCTAACACTCCTTCCTAGGATTCCCCGCAGCCCCTCTGCCCGGGCTCCAGCTCACTGAGAGGGAGACACAACAGACCCCAATAACTTTCTGCCACTAATACTCCCATGACCTCTCTTTCAGCCATAATGCCTTATTGGCTTTATTTGATTTCCATACCTTCCAACTGGTTGCACAGGCTCAACATCAATTTTAAGACTAAATTGAGATTAATGGAATGTCCTTAGTGACCATGGCTTCCTAACCGGAGGCAGGGAAGCTAAAATAAACCCCCTTGATACTCAAGAACAGTCCTGCCCATAGAACCCCCATGAGACTAACACAGCTTTGGCTTGGTCTGCCAACAACCACCAAGCTCCTAGCCCAGTGGACCTGAATCTTGGTTGCACAAGAGTTAGATCCGTGCCATCTTAGCCCTAACCACAGGCCACTCATGGCTACCAAGACCCTGAACACGTAGCCAGTTTGAATAGTGCCATGCTGTTAAGTGTAAAATACAAGCTTCGTTGAAAGACTGAATATGAAAAAGACTGTAACATGTCTCAGTCACGTTATCTTGGTTACGTCTGTCTTAGTCTGTTTTCCGTTGCTACAACGAGCTACCTGAGACTGAGTCAGTGATAAAGAATGGAAGTTGATTTGGCTCCTGGTTCTGGAGTTTGGGAAGCCTGAGGGCAGGTGCCTGCCTCTGGTGAGAGCCCTTGTGCTGTGTGATGCCCTGGTGCAGGGCGTCACCTGGACAGAGAAAGCCGCTAGCCTGGGATTCTCCTCTACTTATGAAGCCTCTAACTGTATCAGGGGCAGCCCATTCTCATGACTTCATCTAATCCCACATGTGTCTCAAAGACTTTGCCTCCAAATGCCATTAGTATATGATGTCAGCAATTAAGTCTCCAACATATGAAATTCAGACCATAGCAATGTCCACATGATAATAACTGGGACATATTAAGTTTATCATTAATATATTACTAATTATAGATGATAAAGCATATTACTGGCATATTATTAAAACTACTTTCACCTTTTAAAAACGGCTACTAGGAAACATAATTACACCTGTGACTCTCATGGTATTTCTGCTGCGCTTTAATCTTCCCTTAACATCTGGAAGATCCCAACACCCAGGCCATAAACCAAACCAATTAAATCGGAATCTAGAGAGCCAGAACCAAGCTGGGTGAGTCACAATCCAGCCAAGGCTGAGGAGCTCACCTTAGCCCCAGCAGATGAGTTACACAAGAACGACCGATGTGCACCAGGTGCCCACCCAAGGATGTTATGTGCGTTAACTGACATGTATTTGCATCAATCTTGTGAAGCAGGGAGTCTCCTGTTATTAGCCTCTGTGACGCTGTGATTTATAATAGGAAATGCATGTTTAGCCCCTACCCCTGGGCTCCTGGCAGCTCCTAAAACCTTTGTGATTTTCTGAGCAATAGAGGTGCTTGTAGCATCATTTGTTCTCCTGCTTGGTCTTTGGCTGAGTTTCTGACATGGAGCTATGAAGTCCCTTAGGATGCCCTGGTGAAAGGAACAATTTTTGTTCCAATAAGGTCACTCTTGGCGGACTCCTGCAAGGGGAGGGTGACCTGAAGGACCAAGCTGTGATCGGAAACTTGGAACCTTTAGCCCCACCCTTATTCTCTGCAGAGGGGTCTAGGCTGGAGGCTGAGTTAGTGTCAGTCATGTCGACATGATGAGGCCTCCACAAAATCCCTAAAGAAGTCCCTGGCCTGTGGTGCGTCCAGAGAGGGCGCAGGGGTCCTGAGCCCCTTCCCACATCCCTTGCTCAGTGCACCTCTTCGTCTGGCTGTGCATCTTTCCTGTCTTTTACAATAAACCAGAAAACGTATCAAGTGCTTCCCCGAGTTCTGTGAGCCATCCTAGCAAATTAACAAACCTGAGGAGGGGGCGTGGGAACCACTGATCGGCAGGCACATGGGACAGAAGATGCACGGGTCACCTGGGAATCTGCCACTTGTGGTTGGGGTCCAACGTGAAGTGGAAGGGCAGCCTTGTGGGACTCAGCCCTTGACATGTGGGGTCTGAAGTAACTCCAGTCAGTGTCGTAGGAGGATTGAACCAGCTGGTGTCGGAGAATCGGTTCATGTGAGGGGAAAGCCCCAGGCACTGGGTGCCGAAGGGGTTGTGTGTAGGAAAGGACAACTTGTCCTTCCCTGCATACAGCTTCATTTTCCCAGAGGAGAACACTGAGTCCCAGAGAGGGTACGCCATTGCCCTCAGGTCACACAGCCCACAGGCCACGGGGCCGGGCTTCTATCCAGGTAACACGTGATCTTCTGTGGCTGTCAAGAAAACCGCTGGAGAAGCAGTGAACTCCTCTCAGCCCTCCTCTCGGAGTGGAGATGGGAGTGAAAGGGCAGAACCAAGCTATGGGGATCCAGTGGTCATGCTGGGACATCAACGGCCATCATTGTAAGACAGTGGGTCTCAGAACGACATGAGCAGCATCTAGGACATGATTAGAAATGCAAACGTGTGGCTCCTACTCAGACGCACTGGGTCAGAAACTGCGGCACTGGGGTTCAGCAATCAGCATTTTATAAACCCTTGAGGTCACCCCCAGTAAAGCTTCGCTGGGAAGAGCAAGGCGGTAAATATTTGAGACTCTGCAGGCCATGAGACCCCTGCTGCAGCCAATCCACTCTACCTCTGCAGCGCCAGAGTCCCTGCAGGCAGGATGAAAATGAATGGTCGTGGCTGTGTGCCCACAAGGCTTTAGCTACAGACGCTACAATTTAAATTTCATGTTTTCTCTGCGTGGTAAAACAGTATTCTTTTGATTTTTTCCCTCCTACTATTTACAATCGAAAAAATAAAAACCACTTAGCTCATGAGTGCTCCAAAACAGACGTGAGGCAGAATTTGCCCGGCGGGCTGTAGCTTGCCAACTTGTGTTCCAGGCCATTCTGTTGGGGACTGCAGTTTAGGAACCACCGCTACCGAGCAAGTCAGAATTCAGGACTCTTGGCCAGTTCCTGAGCACAGGGACCCTCCAGCACTCGTTGTGCTGAAGGCTTGACCTGAGGTTCAGCTTAAACGCAATCCCTCTGCTTTAATCATGCCAATTAGGAGACTGGGGCAAAGGGGACTTAGCAGGCAGACTGGTGAGAGCGGCACCAGCAGGAGGAAGCCAGAGTGGAAATGATCCCCCCCCCCCCCCCCCGCCCGCCACCGCAGCTGCCTCTGACCGGCTGGGGATGCAGCTCCTGTTTTCAGAACGGCCACGTAGCTCCTCTGGGTTTGTTACCGCATTCCTAGCGGGGAGCTACCACAACCCCTTACAGGGAGCAATGAAGACTGAGTAAGGAAAGGAGAGCTATGCTCCTGGCACATCAGAAATCACGGCAGTGGTCTCTGGCCTTCCTTCCCTAGCTGGGGACATGAAGGCGGGACGCAGAACCTGCAAGGTTGCTCTTGCACACTCAAAGCGAGTCTCACGCAGGAAGCAACCAGAGAGGAGGGTGGCGGCTCAGCACATGGTGGCGAGTCCAGCGCATCTCCCCTTGGCCCTCCCGCTCAGGATCCGAGACTCCCTGACCTGGGCCTGAACACATCGTTTGTGATCATGCCATTGCTTTCTGTGCTTTTTTCTCACCTCCCTCTCTGCTCAGCCTTGCGGTTCTCACTTTCTGCCCATGACTTGACTTCCTTCCAGAATGAATGGCCTCTGAGTATCTACTCCCTTCGGGATAATCTGTCGTCTGCCACGGATGTCAGGTGTGGTCTCTGCCCATGGCCCCAGCAAGCCTGCTCTGGTCTGAGTAGGACCTGGCTCCCGAGCTCATGCAGGACTTTAAACACTGAAGTCATAAGTTAATGGTGCTAAAAGGGCAGAATTTACCCCAATTATGGTGTTTAGAAGGTGCCTAGTGGGAGGTCCTTAGGTGACTGGGGGCATGCCCCCGAAAGGCAGCTCTCCCGAGAGGAGGGTGTTGGGAAAGCCTGAACTGGGACAAACCTTCTCTTCTGCTTCCTGGCTCAGCATGGAATCTGCCATCAGATGCATTTCTCCATTGCCATCTCAGGGGCCAAACCAAAGGGGCTGTCTGATTTTGAATCTGAACATGCAAAACTTTGAGCCAAATAAACATTTTCTCTATAAATTTGACTCTGATAGTTTGTCACAGAGCCAAAGAGCCAACCAATACAAGAGCATCCCCAAATCATCTTTTTTTAAAGATTTATTTATTTGAAAGGCAGACTTATAAAGAGAGGGGGAGGGGGACGGGGAGGGGGAGGGAGATAGACTGAGACAGACAGAGACAGAGAGAGAGGGAGAGGGACAGGGAGAGGGAGATAGAGACAGAGACAGACAGAGAGAGACAGAGAGAGACAGGGAGAGGGAGAGACAGACAGACAGAGACAGGGAGAGGGAGAGGGAGAGAGAGAGGGAGAGGGGGATAGACAGAGACAGAGACAGACAGAGAGAGACAGGGAGAGGGAGAGAGAGAGGGAGAGGGAGCGGGACAGAGACAGAGACAGAGACAGAGGGAGAGACAGAGGGAGAGGGAGGGAGAGGGAGAGAGACAGAGACAGACAGAGACAGACAGAGAGAGACAGGGAGAGAGACAGGGAGAGGGAGAGGGACAGAGACAGAGACAGAGGGAGAGGGAGAGACAGAGGGAGAGACAGAAGGAGAGACAGAGGGAGAGGGAGAGGGAGATAGACAGAGACAGACACAGAGAGAGACAGGGAGAGGGAGAGGGAGAGGGAGTGGGAGAGGGAAAGAGAGTGAAGTCTCCCATCTGCTGGTTCACTCCCCAAATGGCCACAATGACCAGGGCTGGGGCAGGCTGAAGCCAGGAGCCAGGAGCTTCTTCTAGGTCTCCCACGTGGGTGCAGGGGCCCAAGCACTTGGGCCATCCTCTGCTGCTTTCCAAGGTGCATTAACAGGGAGCTGGATAGGAAGTCGAGCAGCTGGG